CAAAATCTGAAAATGGTGGCCAAGGTTTAAGGTGGCTGCAATGATGGCCTTTGTGAGGAAGACCACTTTCACATCTTTTTCCACTAACCCTAAGGCTTTGTTAGCCAAACACACACACACCAACACTACCTCTCACACACAAACACACATACACCCTCCACTTGTCAGTAATCTAGGTCTCCTCACTAGGCTTAATCCAAGCCTTACACTTGTCACCAATATAGGCTTCCAAGTGTATCCAATGGAAAGTCAACAAATGGCCAATGGGAGAGTGCCACTTGTCACTCTTTTCCCCAAATTGCAACTTAGTCCCTTCACTAAATATCAACAAGAATAATTGCACATAAGTCCCTAAGGAAAAATATCTCAAAAACATAATTACATAAAGCACTCGGAAAAACGAAAATGTTTCTGAAGAAACCATGCATTTATACCCCTAGAAAATAAAATAAAACAAGCATGCTTTTCTACTAAATTAAATTAGGCATTCACAGTAAAAGCTAAAATAACGCAATGCACGTGGTGCCGAAAATCGTTTCCAAGCACTGAAGACTACCTCGAGCGCAACTAAACCCTAAGTCAATTCGGAAAAAGATTAAATCAAATAAATAAATAAACAATTAACTAATAAAAAAAATGAATTACAGAAAAAGGACAAAGATGACACGGTCATGACATGCACTATCAAGTTATTATTCTTAAAAGCCTTAGGAAGATTATTGTTTCAGAAAATCTTAGAGATTTTTCTGTTAGTCTTTCTAGAACACACACATATTCACATAGTGAGTTTAAAGTTGTATTGTTCAAATCCTGATCGTGATCATACAGTCGCATCTACATCGATCAAAGAAAAAATAGATCTACTTCTACATCGAATTCAGATATTGAAGAATAGAAGTAAAACCGATCACACTTTGAAAGGGTTGGAGCATTTGAGGAGTGTTGTCTGATCTACCTGCTACTCTTCTATAGATATCAAGCATAAGCATGAGGTCAGGTTGCTTTTGAACGGGACGTCGCAAAGCTAGAGGATTGTCATATATTGGTGTTTGGTAGAACGATAGGGTGTGAGCCAGAGTCAAAGTTCAGTGCACTTTGTTTCAAACATAGTGGATCGGTTTACTTTTGACCACACAGTCCACGAGGTTTTCCCACGCAAACAGTTGACGTATTTTATCAACTGGGGTTTCCTCACTAAAAATCCTGGTGTCATATCTAACTTTTTACTTTGCTTTATTTTATCTGCATGTGATTAGTTGTTTAATTGCTAAAATAAGTAAAGTTGAAAAAGACACAGATCCGTTTTTAAAAATACAAAACTTTCTAAATATACCGCTGCGTACAACTCACAAAGATCCGGTGTGTCCGAGGTGTGGGCTATAGGTAGAGGATATTAATCATATTTTTTTTCCGATGCACTCACTCAGTTCAGGTATGGAAGTTAACTCCCCTTCGCTGGGATTTTTCTCAACATTGTCCTTTTTCTTTTGTTGAATGGTGGGATAGAATTTCGAGTGATGTTTTGTCTTCAACGAAAAATAAATGTGTTCTGATTGGGTTGACTTCCTTTTGTGTATGGCTGATTTGGAAGGTGATCGGTTGATCAACTATACATCAACCTTCGCAATAGCACGAATCATTGTAAAATAGGGCTATTGGTCGGGTAAGTCGAACCACTGGGACTGCGCTAGTTTAAGGCAACCTAAGCGTCTAGAATCGTTTTAGAATGATAAGAAGGGATAGGGTGTTTGCTTGGTTTGTCACTAAAGCTATGAAATTAAGATGCATAAAATAGAACTTGCAAGAATTTAAAAGAGATAAAATGTCGGTAAAAGAGACTAGGGAAGTAACTTCACCACCTACAATATAAACATGCTAGAATATGATTCATTCGGGGAAAAACAACATAAATATGTGGCTATGATAAGTAGTTACTCATGGTTACTACATTACCTTCAAAGGATTCATGGAATCAATAGGCAAGAACAATTTATCAAAGATTTTACATGCTCAATTACCTAAACTAAAGTGTAATTTAAGACATGTTCACTAAGCTAGAAATTGTCAAACCATCAATCACATGATAAGAGCACATGAAGCTAAGAATTAAGAATAAGCCATCAAAGGAAGAACCTAAGCTATGGCCTATCAAATCTCTCAACAACATGCCATTAAAACCATTCCAAAAATCTCATCTTCATTGTCACCATGAAAATGTAAACCATACAACCATGAAAACATACATTCTAAGACAAGAAAGTAGGTCCAACATGATCATTAAATCAAAATCAATTCATTACATCAAGTAAGAGTTCTAGATTATGGAATCACCACAAAAATACATTATTTTTCCCAAACTTGAATAAAAAATAAAGCATGCTTACAATGAGGGGTTCCATTACCTCCCTAGAGGAGGAGTTAGTTACACATGGGAGCCTTAGAATGAAGAAGAACCATGGATCCTCCTTCCATTTTTGAGCTCCCCTTTCTTGCTCCAAGAACTCTCCTTCCTTTGCTCTCTTCTCTCTCCTCTATCTTGTAAAAAATGAAGCTTTCCTCATTGTGTGGCTCTTATCCCTCTTATCTACCACCCAAAAATGCCACCAACCAACATCTCCAACCACTTCATTAAAGAGGAAAGCAAAATGAAGAAACCAAGGTGCAAGTGGGCTGAAATGAGCCATTTCCGAAGGGCATTCTGCCCAAAATTCGAGCACTCTAAGCAAGGCCTCGAGCACTCGAATTTAGTGTAAAAATGCCCATGCTTCACTTGCTCCGCCCAGACCTACTTTGGTTAAACAGCCATAACTTTGCGCTCCGAACTCCGAATGATGAACTGTTTGAAGATTTAGAAAGCTAATTCAGAGGTCTAAATATTTCATGTTTTAGTGGAGATCCAATTCTCAAGGATGGTTGGTCGAAAATGAAGATCAAGGCAGAATTTCATTGCTGCCAGGCAGTTCTGCGCACCTCTGGTAATAAGGCCATAACTCTCTGCTCCAAGCTCCGAATGACAAACCATTTGAAGATTTGGAAAGATGATTCAGAGCTCTAAATCTTTCATGTTATGAGGGAAGTCCAGTTCTTGAGTTTGCTAGGTCGAAATGGCGAGCAAAGTCCTGACTCCACCGCTGCCAGAAATTCAGCCTTGTGCCTTTTGATGGTCTAAAATCCACAAAGTCTTATTTGTACTCCTTTTTGGCAAAAGGACCTGAAAATATATACAAACACACAAATGGGGATAATCTACATAAAATAAGCAAACAATGGACTTAAATAATGCAATTAAGGGCGCTTGAATATGCAATATTCGGCGCTTATCAGAAGGCTAGAAATAAAATAGTTTTTGGGAAAGAAGTGTGGGATCCTTTATTGGTGGCTAATTTAGGTACAACCCATTTTTGGGAATTTATGAATGTGCAGAAAAAATGTAAGCAGATTGTTTCTCCTTTGCATTCTATTGTGTCCTCTAACCGTTGCATAGCATGATTAAATGTAATGTGGATGCTAGTTTTTCAAAGTCTTCTTTGTTAGGGCGTGGAGGGGCGGTGTTTATGAACTCGGATGGATCTATTATTCAAGCTGTGATTTTTAAGCCGTTTTCCTCCTCGTCTGTGCTTGAGGCTGAGGCTTTTGCTTTTTTGTCATGCTGTTTACTGGGATAAAGTGTTCGATTTTCAGGATGTCTGTTTTGAGTCGGATGCTAAATTGGTGGTGGAAGCTTTAACGGGAGTTCGATCTGGCGAGGGTGCGGTTGCTTCTTTGGTGTCTGTTGTGCAAAAAGAGCTTCAAGCTTTTCCTAAGTTCTCCATTCCTCATGTGCGAAGGGGTGGTAATATGGCTGCCCATGCTTTAGCTTGTTTATCATGTGTTGATATGGAAGAAGACTCGGTGCTTCGTTCCATGCCTTCATCGTTTATTCAAATTTTGGAGGCAGATGTTGCTGTTTGAGTTTTGCGGGTTTTTGTCTTTCTTGTCTTTGTATTGTAGTTGTTGCCAAAAAATAAAAAATTAAAAATTAAAAAAAATAATAATAAATTTAACCTAAAAATTTAAACTATTAAATAGTGTTGTATACCGGTCCTCGTACGTCAAAGACCTTCTCCATCATGATCATGCTGACAAGACCCTCCTAACAGTGGCACATTGCAAACACGATAGGATTAGCAACCACTAGGAACATTATTAGTTATGATCGCTAACTAGAGTGGCCTTAGTCAGCGGTGCAATTAGATCCCATGCGTGCAAGGAAAAGAAATGGGAGACCCACCATCATGCTCTGTCCACATTACTCATTTTCCCTCCTCATTTATATCTATATATCTCTCTCTGTGTATATATATAACCAACAATTGACCAACATCTTAGCTGCTTTATACCCAGAAAAGATAAATTAATAGATCACATATCTGCCGTGATTGATTGAAAATTGGCTTGATTAAGCAGGCAGTGAAGCAGGATGGCATCATTAGTAAGTAATTAATTTGTAAAATCATGATGACTAAAGAAGACACACACAACTGTGGATAATAGAGATGTGTCTAATGGTGGACCATTCAAATCATTCCCCATTATCTTTATGGTGTGTGTCACTTGCGCATGTCTAAGACCCTGTTTTGAATGCAGTTTTAAAGTTTCAAGATTTAAAATTGAGTTTATGAACATTAAAGGGCAATATTTTGAATTATTCGTAGAAATATATTAAGTAATATTATTACTAAACAATTTTAAAAGTACTTAATATAATGAATTACCAAACATTTAATTTGTTTTTTTAGTGATAACAATTTTATGACAACTCGTTAATAAAACGAATCCATTAATATCAAAGTTTCAAAAGCAATTTGAAAGGAGACTTGGATACTAGAGGCAGGTGAACCCTTGACAGAGAGTATGGTTTGTGTGATTTAATTTTTTGAAAACAATTTTTAAAATTAAAAATAATTTTATGAAAATTCTGTTGATAAAAAGGAGAATCGGTTACAACGATGACGCCATAACATGAAAGATTCAAAAGGTGAGTGGAGACTTGGATACTAGATAGTTTTTTTTTTTTCAAAAGCAATTTTTAAGAATTTTTAAAATTCAAAATAATTTTCAGAGGGCTATAAAACTTTTCCCTGAAATCAACTTTTGCTTATCTTGAATTTTGAAAAACTGCCAATCAAACACAATTTTAAATTATTATTATTCTTTTTTTTAATTAAACGAAATAAGCCTTTTGTTCCAAAAACATTTCAGTCAAACCATGAAACCGTTGCGGAATTAATTGAAAGTGCTTCATATGGAGAGAGAGAGAGAGAGAGATGGCACTCCATGCTAAGTAATATCAGGCCTTGTCTCCACTATCAGCCTAGCCGATCTTTCCCCTTCCATCTTGTGTGATGTAACATGAAAAAATAATAATAATAATAATAAAAAATAAAATAAAAATTAATAAAATAAAATTGGTTTGATGTAACTATATATAATAATAACATTAAAAAAACAAAAATCAGAATCTAGATATAAGAACCCCAATCATCATCAGCCAAATACAACTGTTTTTGCATATATTTTTTGTTTCACTTGCCACTCTGATATTACAGAACAGAGTCATTTAACCTGCAACACCTCAAACAACTCATCTTCATATCATCTTTTTGTCCTCTTCTTCTCCAATCTATCTTCCACATTGTATCACACACCTTTCACTTGAAGCTTTCAAGACAAAATTTTGAAATATGTTGTCAGCATAATGTCACCATTTAAAGCAAAATTCTCAAGATTAATCTCAAAACAAGAAAGCATGCCTCTTTGAGGGTGTGCAGAATATTGATTACAAAGATGTTTTTAAACCATTTTGGGGAAAAAAGATGAGATTTTGATCCACCCCCTAACTGTCAAATACAGATGTTTTGAGCATATTAATCTCCAAAAATGTGTAGAATTACATACCAACTTGAGCAAAAAGATGATTTTTTGCTCCACCAATCTCTATCTCCTCTCCCTTCACTCTCATATCCTGTTAGTAACTCGGAATTTGATAAAGAGTCATCCCCATCATCACCCTCTGTTAGCAGAATCAGTCCAGTCATTCTTTTGGCTATAATAATTCTATCTGTTATCTTTTTCATCTGCGGTGTTCTTCATCTTCTTGTTAGATTCTTCATGAAGAGGCCATCTTTTTCATCAATCATCTCTCAATCCAACAGACACCCAGAAACATCAGGGTCCCAGACTCTTCAAAGACAGCTCCAACAGCTCTTTCGATTGCATGACTCCGGCCTAGACCAAGCTCTCATTGATGCTCTACCGGTGTTCTACTACCAAGACATTATCATGGGTTCTAAAGAGCCGTTTGATTGTGCTGTGTGTTTGTGCGCGTTCTCGGAACAGGACATGTTGAGATTGCTTCCAATGTGCAGCCATGCTTTTCATATAAATTGTATAGACACATGGCTCCTATCAAACTCAACATGCCCTCTTTGTAGGGGGACCCTCGGTACCTTCAACCTTCCCCCGCAGAATCCATCGTCTAATCTTGCCGAATTACCAAGGGAGCAATTCAATGAAATTTCTGGTGATGGAGATGATGAATTTTCTGGCGGTCAAAAGCTAGAAATCACACAGGAAAATGTTGGTGAAACAAGGGTCCTCCTTGTGAGACTTGGTAAATTTAGAAGCTTAAATGAAGGAGGCGACGTTGGAGAGAGCAGTCATGGGGAGACCAGCAGCTGCAATTTGGATGCAAGAAGATGCTACTCAATGGGTTCGTTTCAGTACGTTGTTGGTGACTCAAACCTGCGCGTAGATTTGCCTCGTGTTAATGGTGGTAATGGTGATGTGAGGATTACCAGAGTAAGAGGTGACACTATGAAATGTGCAGTTAATGGGGATGTGGAGGGAAAGAAGATCAGTGGAAGGACCAAAGGCGAGAGCTTCTCTGTTTCCAAGATCTGGCAGTGGTCTAAGAAGGGCAATTTACCAAATTCTTCTTCTCTTAATGTTGGTATGCCAATAACTACTAGAAACTCAAATTGTGTGAATGAATATTTAGAATAGAATTGTGTTCTTTGATCAGTTTAATTTAGCCCTTTTATTTTTTTATTTTTTTTTTTTTCAGTTCTTGTGGATGCATATTTGTCTGAATTCACATGTTTGGTATCTTAATTTTAACTTAAAATCTCTTGGCAGTCAAGAGATCACGTGGGAAGATGAAATTGTGCCCCCCGCAGAAGTTTGGTTAATTGCAAAAATTTGCAGGTTAGGGGACGGATAATAAGAGATTTGGCTCTTGTACGCGCAAAACCATGAGAATGTTTCGGATTAAACCTCATCCCCTGAGAACTCGTGGCGCGAGCACTGCACCGATGCAGTGGATTTGGGTTGTGAAACTTTGACATGAAAACAGTTTGATTCCACCTCATAGACTCATAGTGCATGTATGAGTCAGGCATTGCCTTTAGTGACCTCCTTGGTGACAAACAAGGACTACTAAAGGCAGATAAGAACACTGATGGCATAGCCAGGCATTGCCATAGTACAATGTTGGTCATGATTAGTAAATGATGCCCATTTCTCAACAAAGGGCTTAACAGTAATAAGGCAAAACTTACGATTGAAACTACTAGCTAGATCCAAGTATGATGTTTGTGTTGGGATTTATATGCCCTGGCATAGCAAATTCCTATCTGGATTGTAGTGACATATGTTCCTGACATATCTGAAATATTTATGATTTATATAATTGGTGAATTCAATGTATTATGTTTCGATTCACTATGAAATTGATAGTGTCCATGTAATTACAAGAAATATTTATATATATGTATGTGATGACAATCAATGCATGATATATAAATAGTAATTATAAATTGTTCATAGTCGGTAATTATGGATGGACTCATAATTAATTAAGACTTGAACTGGATCCGTATTAGGTTGAGATATATTGCGAGAGCCGTCGTATGCAATTACTCCCTATCACCGTCATGGCATTTGACTCTTAAGCATGAGAAAAGTATAGACTCTTTTATTAATTAATAATTACTTTGATTTGTTCGGCGGATTCTTCGGGATCCTTAGACCGACACTTTGGGTAGTTATGTAATTAATAGTTAGAGGGTTATATTTTCAATATTTGCATCATTGCTACTTGTATTTATTTTGTATTGATTATGGTTGATCACAAAGTAAATTCGAAGGCCTTCGTGTATTTTTAGACAAAATGATTTATTATATATTTATTTATTTAAATTATTATTTTTGTCAAACAAATGTTTTATTGTGATCGAGCCAGAAATAATCATAGGTACCAAAATAGATATATTAATTAAGTAGTCGGATTGATGGCTTTATTTATCCGATAACTAATTATGCATAGAGGGGTCAAAGTGCAATATTGACTTAGAGGTTATTTATTATTTAATTGGAGTTCAATTAATTTCTTTTAGTGGAGTAGAAATTAATTTATGAATTAATTGAATTGGATCCATGGACCGGGTCAATTATTAATTCATTGTAGCCAATAAAATAATAGGCCCAATGGATTCTCACTCATAGCCCAACTTGATATTGGAATCATATTAGATTTGAGACATATGAATTAGAGATGGAGAAGGATTTGTTGTTTCCTTTTCTTTATTTTTATGTTGCCTATAAATATACATGGTCTATGTATATTTTAGGGGTTGATTTTGATGAGAAGAAAAAAGGAATAACTTTTCTCTCTCTAGAAAATTAGGGTTTATGTTCTCATCTAATGGAGGCTCCCACAAGCCTAGTTTTCCAAGGTCATTCATGGGGGCATATGAGTGATTCCTAAAGGCAAAATAATTACCAAGAAGATGGAGATCCAAGGAGAACGCATCTTGCTAAGGGATCTACAATAAGTGAGAACATTCACTTTAGAGGAGAGATCTAAGGTTTACTCAAACCTTGATGTAAGTATTCAATCTTTTACTTGAATGATACATCATGTTTTATTTTTGCATGAAACTTGTCTCTATGTAATGAATCAAGATCTATGAATTTAAATCCCTCGAAAAGTTTTTAAAACTAGCACGTTTCCTAACAGTGGTATCAGAGCATGGTTTGATTCATTACTAGAGATCATGATTTTATGAAAATCATCATTCATGGATCCAAAATTATATTCATATATATTTTTATTGATGTATGTTGATATATGATTTAATATGTTGATATATATTGATACATAATGATGTATGAATGATTGTGAATGAATGATGATGTATGGTTGGGCCATGGATGAAGCTTATAGGTTAAATGAATGTAATTTTATCTTTAGATGAATGTAATTAAGGCTTTGATTTAGCCGTTTGAAAGTTCAATGATGTAATTTAATTTTTTCCATTGTATTTCAAATTGTAAATTTATTTAAAGCCATGTAATCTTCATCAAAGGATGTTATGAAGCTTCAAGAAGGTCCGAGAGGGTTAAATTAGGCTTCAGGAATTTTCTAGGATTTTTTAGAAATTTTTCAGAATTTTTCTGGAATTTTTTAAGGCCTAATTTAATTTCTGAAATTTTTATTAATTTTTCTGAATTTTTCGGCGTTTTTCCGGTGGCCGGAGCAGCACCGGCGGCGAGAAGAGACGTCGGAGGAGGCTAGAATCAAGTGTAGTGCATCTGGGGTGAGCCTGGCGCGTGAGGAACACGCGCCAGGAGGTGACATATGCTGGCGCGTGCATTGCAAGCGCCAGCCAAGTGTGTAGGACCTCCACGCGCGTGCAGGCGCGTGGAGGCGCGTCCCACGCACCCCACGCGCGTGCCAGCGCGTGGGGGCGCGTCCCACGCGCCCCAGGTGCGTGCCAGAGCGTGGGAGCGCGTGCCTTCACCTGCAGCATGCCCCAGGCGCGTGTAGGCGCGTGTGGGGCCCTCCAGGCGGGTTCCAAGCGGTGTTTTGCTTCTCCTGGTGCGTACCAGCCTTATGTGGGTGTTTGCAAGCCGATGGATGATCTTCCCGCGATAGTTAGAGTAGTTAAATGTTAAAAGCTGATTCCATTGGCCGTTTTATTTGTTTTATCTGTTATTTATTTATTCATGCATTGGATCCATGATATTTATTTAAATGGCTTGATTTATATTAATTAAGTTATGAAAATTAATTGGATCTGATTACTAGTTAATTTGAGGGCACTTATTGGGAAACGCAAAATTATTTTTTATAAATTATTTTTAAAGTGTGCTTCAAATTAAATATTAGTGAATCATTTAAGTCCAAATATTTTCTAAATTTAATTGGATTAAAATCAAGACGTTTTGCATACATTATATCATGTAAATGAATAAATTCAAAACCCTAATTATGAATGATTAAAAATTGAGTGGGAGCGGGGATTTTTATACATTACCCCATGGCCTTCGTTATTAAAACCATTGTAATTAGATCTTCAAAAATAAGGCCCCACGCATGATTTGAAGAGTCTTAATATTACAAGAATGGTTGTCTCATGAAAATAATAATATTAAATGTTCATTGTACTTAGATCTTTAAAAATAAGGCCCTACGCATGATTTAAAGAGTCTAGATTATAATGACAAGATATTTAATATTTTATTTTTCATTAGAGCATTAATAACGTTATACACTCAATCTAAAATCAATAGTGTTAGCTCCCCAACGGAGTGGTCTACACTAGGTGATTTTAGAAAGGCTAAACATAATCGGGAATCATTTCATATAGATAGACAAGGCATTGTCTTAAGAAATATGGAGATGATGGGATTTGCCCGCTAATAGCAATAATGAACTTCGCCAACCGAATAAGTTATTGGTGTATTGGTTATCCGATTTTTCATGCAGTGGTTAAGGGACCCACATACTATTTTAATGGAAGTGCTCACCTAATAGTAAATGAATCTCAACAATAGTAATAATGAACTCCTCCAACAGGATAAGTTATTGACATATTGATTGGTTGATTTATTATGCTACAGAGTTGAGGGACCCGCATTAATTAAAAGGGATTGTTCACCAATAATGATAATGATCTCTTGTTCGATTGAGATTTATTGTATTATGTGGTTAACAAGCTCATTTTAATTTTAAATATGCATGACATTATTAATAGTTCACCTTGCATATTGTATGAATGCATTTATATTCAGATTAATTATGTCTAATCCAGTTTATCTGCTTGCTTACATATTCTATGATATTGGACCTTATTTATAATGACTGGAAAATGAACTTAGATATTTTATTCACAACGTAAGGATACAAAATGTGTTTATTACTCCTATACCTATCTCTTTTACTTTGAGATACCAAATTTGACATTAATGCTTTTAATAAATTAGATAAGGCAAATGATATGACTTGGTGCAATATTCTAGAGTTTAGCTCGAATATACTCCAAAGCTAACATTTGTATTATTTTATTTTCTTCAAGCATCATATTAAATGTCAATGAGATATTTTGGTGAGATTAGATAGAGCATATGCCTAAGTACTGTGTCAAATTTAAATACCATCAAGATAGCCTCATGAACTCCAGTTTGAAATCAAATTTTGGAAAATGATTGTTTATTATTTAAAATTAGCTGGAGATCAATAGGGCTGACTTGGGTGGTAAGTTTCAAGTTGACATGATTATTGTCTTGTTACCAAACTCGTTCGATTCTGTTATAGTGAACTAAATAAGGAATCAGTTTGAGTTCACACTCACTGATATTCTTATAGAATTGGTAACAGATGAAGGGATAATCAAGAGTATGGGCGTTCCTATCAATCTAACCTAGTCTATACCATCTTCTTCTAGGCCCAAGTGGACGGGCAAAGCAAAGAAGAAGGATGATAATAGGACTAGGCTAGCACAAAACATAGGTATCTAAAAGGTTAAAGGGAATAAGACAGTGTATGTTGAGGGCGAATGAAACTGTTTCTTTTGCCGTTAACTAACACACTAAAGGACAAACTGTCTAAGCAATGACGTGGCATAGGAAAATATATATTTAATCATTGAGCCATGTTATGTGGTTGCATCTATTGATTCCTGATGGATAGATTCTGGAGCCACTAAACATGTTTGCAATTTATTGTAAGGATTTCAGGAATCCAGAAGCCTTGATGATATGGATATATATTTATCTTTTGACCTGATGCCAAGGTTGTAGTTAAGTCAGTGGGAGTATTACATCTGAAATTAGAGAGTATGAGGATATTAGTATTAGAGAACTATCTTTATGCACAGAAGTGAAACGCAACCTCATTCTTATTTCACTTTTGGTTTATAAAAACTGTGTTGTTATTTTGTAAAACTGGTTTTATAAAATTGAATAGATATGCGATTGCTTCTGGTGCATTGAAAGATGGTTAATATACTATAATCACAAACTCTTAAGATTTGCAGGATGTAGAAACTAATGTTGCATCTTCTAGATTGAATGTTAAGAGAAAAATTGTTATTCCTGACTTATTGTATTTTTAATGTCTATTTTTGGGTTGTTATCAATCAAAATAAGATTCAAAGATTGGTCAAAGAAGGTTAATTACCTAGTGAGGCAGGGGAGCCTAAACCAAACTTGTGAACCCTGTTTTGAAGGATAGATAACTCTAAGGGCTTAATCAGCCAAATGAAATAGACATAAAGAACAATGGGAGTCGGTACACACGTACACGTGTAGTCTTATGAACATCTAATCAAGATTACTCACATTTTGGATAAATTTACCTATTGCGACACAAGTCTTATACTTTTGGTATATTCCGAGAGGGTCAAGACTGATGTGGAGCACAGATTAGGTAAACTTATCAAGACACTTCGATCTGATCGAGTATT